CCCTTTACTCCTGACCCACAGCCCCTTGCTCCCCCCCAGCCCTGCAGCATCTCTGGGCAGCCCTGCCCCTGCAAGCACAGGGCCCAGTCCCACCAGCCAGGCAACAGCTCCCTGCTGCCCCTGAAGTACCTGCCTGCCCCCTTCCCCTGCTGCAGGAGCAGGTGCCACCTCCACCTTCTTTGCCCTGATGCAGCTCCAGCACCCTGACATCTTCCCTCAGCACTAGCAGGCACCTACCCCCTTCACACACCCATCCCTTCCACACACACAACCTCCATAGACAGCCCTCAAGCCCTGGCTTGCCAACCCTTGCTCCCCATAGACTTACCTCCATCCAGCTGCTGGGGCTGCTCCTACCACCCTGCCTGGCTACATGCTGGTCATGTGTATGTGAATGTGCATGCGAAGACACTCATGATGCCCCCTGCTTCTAATCACCCTCTGCTCTCCCCAGCCCCAAGCAGCTCCTTTCTGGGGCAAGCTGGAAAGTGCCAGGAAAAATTTCAATGCCGAGCAGAGCAAAATCCCGGACCTTTGTTGATGTTTTAAGAAACTGCCTGGACAGAGATGGGAGGACCCAAAAAAGAGGACATGCCTAGGAAAACCCAGACATATGGTAACCCCACCTAAATTAACAACTTTCAGCTGTTTACCTGTGGGGAAATAAAGGCATACACAGACAGAGAAACAGACTGCATCTGCATTCAACAGCTGCCCATTGCAACATGGGCATGGTTTTGACAGTATATTCAATGTGGATAAAACACATATGTATAAAGACTTGATTTGACCATTTTCAATAAGAGTAAGAGCCAGCCCTCTAGGCCAGGGGTGGGCAAAATGCAGCCCAGGGGCCAGATGTGGCCCACCAGGCCATTCTATCCAGCCCATGGGGCCCCTAAAAAATTTAGAAAATTAATATTTATCTGCCCCTAGCTGCCTGTCATGCAGCCCTCATTAGCTTGCCAAAACTCAGTAAGTGGCCTTCCACCCAAAATAATTGCCCACCCCTACTCTAGGCAGACTGACCTTTAACATAGCAGAGGACTACAGCAAGATTGAACCAAAACAATGGAAGACTTCACACACACACAGATTCTCCAGCAGAACACAAGCATCTGGTTATATACCTAAAAAAGATCTCCTCAGACAGCAAATGCCAACACCACAAAACCACCAATGGATTATTTTATAAGTCCACCTGAAAACAAAATTTAAGAGAAAACTGAAATAGCCCTTATTAACACATATCTGTATGAATACTTTGACCAAACAGCAAGTAACATGAGCATTGCTGCAAAAGATTTCACCACAGCACCAAAGCAATCTCTATCACCTTTAGCAGAACAAGTTCACAAGCCATATTTACCTTCCAGATGCTCCTTAACAAATATGTAAAACAAATGTGAAAATATTATCTGCTTTATAGAATACGAGAAAACTTTTAATTCCCCCTGGCATGCAGAACTGAACTTTCATGGGTACAAAAATTCAATTGGTAGGAAATATATGACCTAAATAAACCTACGCCGTGAGCCATCAAACATAGGATACGGCTTGAACGCTGCCTGGAGGCTGTTTGGTGTCAGACAATGAGGGACATGCAGGTAAAATAACTCAAATGTGCAAGAAAAGGACCTGCTGTATGTAAAGTGCAAGGAACCTACCAGAGTCTTCAGTGGATCTATGGCTATTTGACAGTCCTCTTGCTGTAGTAATGCTGGTTCTTTGTGAAAATCCACTAATAGTAATGGTGCACAGTTTAATTAGTTTCTAAAGGCAAATATTTATTTGGAGATCATTTAATATAGTTGACAGATGCACCACATCATCAGTGCACAACAGGCATTTTATAATGGAGACATGCCTTATGAGCCAGAGGTTTGTGGATTGTTTCAATAGGACCAGTAGATTCAGAGAGCATAAGTGTCAGACAATAATTGTGAACATCCTGTTTGACTTCCTGTGTGGTCAAACAAAACGTTATTTGATGTCAATTCTAGAGCAGGTCCTGCTCTGGTTACATCCCTGTTTTACTTTCCTTTCCTGCATGAACGTGTCTGATTGCCTATAAAGTTATTTGTTAGAAGCCTGCACCCTGCAGGTTTCTCTCAGGAGAGTAGTGAAAATCAAATTCCTTTGATACATAGGCTGTTTTGAGCTCTTTTTGCAAAGGCTTTGGAGACCGAAGTATGGATTTACTCTGAAAATAAAATAATAGCACCTTTTCAGTCAGCAGAACCCCTTCCTGTGAGTACTCAGCCATATCTATCACTTCATTGACAAAGGTGAGTTATTTTTGCTACATTTCCTGTCAGCTCTGCAGAGCCAGTATAGCTAAAGAAGCATAAACTGAAGGCTATTTCTTCTTGTGCAGCAACAGCACTGGCTTGCAAATCAATTGCACATGTGTAAACACCCTGAAGTGAATGATGAGTTAGCTTGGCCTGGGCATAATGCAGGAGGAGAAGCAAATACTACTTGCTTCTGCAAGCCAAGGTTGAGTTTGAAGGGCTGGCAGTTGTAAAACTTGCCTTTTTATTTGAAAAGTGAAGTGCATTGGAACTGGAAATCACTGAAAGGGAACCCCTAAGCCTGGCACTTTAAGATATTTCTTTTTGGGATAAAGCTGAAATTATAGCGTTGAAAAAAAACAGACATAATTATTTTTCCCCTCATAATTATATTTTCATCTGCTGGGAAGGAGACATCAAGTGGTGTTTTACTTTTGCTTTTAGGCTTATTTTGTTGAGTTGCCTAGTCAGAATCAGGAATCCTGGTTTTTCCCTAATAAAAAAAAATCTCCAATTTTTGGATTAAGAAACACAACTCAAAATCCACATTTTTCCATGATTAAACTAAAACACTACTATATATACATACATACACACACACACACACACACACACAC